TATTTGACTGTGGTTTGGAAGTACAGGTAGGCAAATGTCCCTCTGAAGGAAAGGAGAAAGGCTTTATTTTGCATGTTCCTGACAATGAAGTCCTGATTCATATTTGCCCAGTTGAGGGGTAGAAGCAGATAACAAGCAACTGTAAAACATTATTCTTTCTCTCCTCTGCACCCTACTATCACAAATACATGACACACCATACATAGGAGAGAGAAGAGCTGAGCCTTTTACTTCCCTTTTCCTACTGTAAGGAAAGGGTATATATGTATGACTATTCTGAAACTACCCTCTTCTTGCAACACTTAGGAGAAATGACCTTACATTTAACAACAAGGTAATCAGGCCCAGACAGCATGGGTTTATGAAAGGCAGGTTGTGCTTGATGAACCTGACCTTTTTGTGACAAGGTGACCCACTTAGTAGATGAGGGAAAGGCTGCAGACATTGTCTATCTAGACTTTAATAAATACTGTTTCCCCCAGTATTGTCCTGGAGGAACTGAATTCTCATAGCTTGGACTGGCATGCTGGACAGCCAGGCCCAAAGAGTTGTGGTGAATGGAGTTAAATCCAGTTGGTGGTCTCTCACAAGTAGTGTTCCCTATGGCTCAGTGTTGGGGCCAGTTCTCCAGTAGAGTCACCATCCCTTGAGGTATGTAAAAGACATATAGATGTTGTACTTAGGGACACAGTTTAGTGGTGGACTTGGCAGTGTGCTCAGTTAACACTTGGACTTGATGATCTTAAAGGTCTTTTCCAACCAAAACTATTCTATATTTCTATGATTTGAGACTACTATGTATGCAAAGAAGATTAGAAAATACAGACACATTTATTATCCGTTGTTCGGTAAGCATGTTGTTACTTCCATTGTCTCAATAGATATTTAGTTCATGTTCATAATAATCTTAAGTAGATGTCTGACCATGGGTATAAAAGATTAGGGTAACATGCACACATATTATTACAAGTTCTACCACAGGTAATTCTAAAAGCAAGTATGCTTGAAAAGTTGTCTCATGCTTCTGATCTTCTTTCATGTCTAGATGTTGCAAAGAGAACATCACAGGCAACATCTAGGTAACGAGTTACTTCAATCACCTCCAAGGTGAAGGGGCAGCAGGATGTATTAAGGTATCAGTAGATATGTGCACAGATGATTACCATGTGTGATATAGGTAAGAGAGATGAAGGGGACCATCTCCCCTCCCACAACATTACAAACCTGTAGTTTCTTATGTCCAATAGTTTCTGCACAATAACCCAGGTACTCCTGGTGGAACACAGCAAGTAAGCAAACAAATTTTTAAGAAAAAAATCCCTAATACGCAACTTACATTTTGTGGTAAATGGATAAGAAGTGTCATCAAGTTTGATAAGTTATTTGAATAGCTGTATCTTTCAGTACTGTTATCAGTCTTTACCAGTGCTGTATAATTAAAAATTATACGTCTGCCTGCTATTATAAAAAAGTAATTGCAAAAGTGTGATATAGCCTTCATTGGTATTAAAATATTTTTCACAATTTACATAGCACTAAAGATCTCAGTGAGTAAAGCTACAGGCTCAGGAGCTCTCTAAAGCTGTGACTGGTACAGTTCTGGACTTCCCTGAGAATTATGAATCTTTCTTAAACACCCCAAATTTTAGCAAAAATGAAGTGCACATTTCTGCATATTTCAGATATCTCCAGGGATCTTTATGAATCCAAAAGGGTCAAGAAATAGCAGAAAACCTTGTCCAAAGCAATTATTGCAGTGAGAAAAAAGAAAAGAAAAAAAACCTCATGAAAAAATGAGAAAGCTAGTGAAGTAATTATCAAATCTGAATATGAAGTTATGGTAAGTAGACATGTGGATTTCAAATGTCTCCTTTCAGCTGTATTTAATTTTGACCCCTTTAGCGCTTGTCAGCCTATTGTCCTCCACTCAAAACCATTCAGAAGTACATATAATCTGTGCAGATAGCATGGAGACAACAGACTTCTGGCCTGAGGTAAGCAACTACTGTGCATTTCTAAGATTGGCAGAAAAGTAGATCTATTCCCATATAGCTTTAAACTATGCAAACACTGACTAAATGGCTAGAAATGGTCGTGTCAAGATAATTGAGTAGAAAGCATAATGCAAATGAGATTGCTAAGTAAGGGAAGCAAACTGTGATTATTTGTCCTAATGCAGCTTAGATACAAACATCAATGGATGGTCATCTTCACATCTTTATTCTGTAGATATACTTCATGTCTGTGCTACATCTGTGCTGTTGATCTTAATTGGCATATCTAAAAACTGAAGACTGTGGAGTCCTTTTGGAGATCAAGATACAAACTTGGCAGTTTCCTGACCATATGTCATGCATAGACTGAAGCACAACCAACATTTCTAGCTCAGTTGGTACAAATCCCAACAGAAAGAACTGCTACACCTGTGACTTTCTCTCTGTACAGTTTTCAATGTCAGTATAAACCCATTGTACTGTAATAATGGATACACCCTTGGTAAGACCTTGAGCCATGACTTGACTTTATGTTTAAATTTGTAACCACCAATTCATCCAGTACTACTAGCTAACTTATTTTTTAAAATATTTTTTCTTCACTCCTCCTAGATGAGGAAGTGTTCCAAGCTATGTTAATGACACACTTTATTGAAATATTCTGATTTTCATAGTAACTCACAGAACTGAACACCTCTTATCAAGGGTTTCATTGGAGATTTTCCATCTCCCTGGGTGATCATATAGGCATCCTCCTCCCAGACCTACTTCTTTACATTAATCTATCTTCCAGTTACAGTTTTAATTAGATGATCTTAAGGATGTCTTAATCTTGTGTGGCACAATTCCAAACACCAAATAAAGAAGTTTTGGTTGTTCTAAAATTTCTCATGACCACAGACATGAGACAAGCTAAACACCAAAGAAAAGAAGTCAGCCTTTTCATTGCCTCGTGACATCATTTATGTCCTATGAAATGCAGATAAAATGTCAATTATATGGCATGTACAGGAAGTGCATTATCACCCACCTGAGTGCATGGGCATCCTTCTTTCTTTTCAGAATGCTCTTACCATATGTATAAATTTGTAGTTGTGGGTTTTCATAATTGTTATTATTCACCTCTTTTAAGAAGTTAACATGTAAGAACACTTTCACGTTTTCAACTAGATAATTTTTTTCCCTAAGGTATAATAATTCAATTATTTTTGTTGTTTAAAAATATTTTGCCTCACTGCTTCTTCCTCTGTTTATTTGCAACCCTTTCACTGGGTAGCCACACACAGCTGCTTCAGCATGCACCACCAGTGAAGGGACAAAAAACATTTTTGAGGAAGGCAGGGATTTTCCATAGCATATTTATAGCTAATAAGAAAGAATATTTTCTGATGTCAGCAACCCTGTTATAGAAAAGTCCTCTCCCCTTCCCTCAGCAGATGTTACCATGCTTTTAACTAGGAAAAAAAAATATAATAAAAATATCTTTCTCTAATCTACCTTACACAACACAAATTTTTAGAACTGTACGAATAATACATTTTGAATTTTAGGTGCCTGCTAATTTCTTTGATTTCCAAGAGTTTTTTTGATTTCCAAGAGGCTTTTACTGGTTGTACTGGTAGTTAGGAGTGTCCATACTTAGCAGAAAATATTAAATAATAAACAAGAAAATAAGGAATATTTTTACATGCATTCAATACTGCATGAGGAATTTATAAAAAAATAAATAAGGTGATTTTTATATTAATATAAGAAAGAATTAAGACCATATAGCAATTACAGAACAGAAGAGGAAGATAAAATATAAGAAATTATGTAAATACAATATCGTAATTTACAAACTTTCACTCTCCAGACACTGCACCAGATGCATAGAATCTTAAAAGTGTTGACTCTAATGATGGCAATGCAAGAACACGAGTTTTCTTTAGGCCTTTATGTTTTAGGAATATTAACCTAGTGTGATCCCTTTAAGTAGGTCAGTCTCAATACACACACCAACATTTTCAGCGCTGGATTCACTTAGCAGGAA